TAATTTAAATAATGCAAAATTGTAAAAGCAAGCTAAAAAAATTGTTTTTTTATTTTGACAAAGAGTAGGTAGACAATGATTTACTAAAACAATGCAAAAAGTTACTTTTTTCTCTTTTTTTAAACTCATGTTGAGGGTGATTTTTTTTTATCCACAATCACCCTATAAAGAGACTTTATTCTACACTTTAGATGCGTATCAACTACCAGTTTATCCACTAGTGGAATAAAGTAACTTTATTGACTAAGAAGAAATTCCCGACGTCTGTGGACCAAAAACAACAACAAGAAAATTTAAATTTTTTTCTCACAATATTACTTTGGATTGCGTGATAACCGTACTACGAACAAAACTTTTATCAAAAGATCTCAAAACTAGAAACTTAAAGCTTCAAAACAGTTTTTTTTTAATCTAAATACGACCATTTTTAGATGAATTACAGCCTTTCAAAAATCACCAAAATTGGGAAAAATTTGTTCATTTAATTTTTTGGAGTAGTGTATTTCGCACAGTTTTGATTTAGTTTTTAATCAAACCTTGTTGACACACTGCTTCTAGGGCAATAAGCGTCACGTCGCTCACACTGTACTTATTTTGCTTGACTTTCTGTAATATAAAGACAATTGAGACTTGGAGACGAGCAAAAATTTTACCACCTTCTTATTTTTCACTTCCCAATTAAGAATCACGTGAACAACAAACGCGAAAACGGCTAGAATCACAGTCGAAGCAATCCAAACATTAAAATTGAGAGTTATAAGAAAAATATTTTTGATGTAAGAAGTTGAGGGTTTTTTTACTACAAATCTAATTGGATGAGGGTTYCCTTGTTTGATTAAGTCAACAGCTTCGTAACGTTCTTTTGTAAAGAAAATTGAGCCGGCTGAAATAATTGGGTAGAAAAACTACAAAATTGCTTTCTTCTACCTGAAATGTCAGCTCTTCCAGTTTGAACTTCTCGCACCAATCCACTGAAAAGCCCCGTTTTCTCATCCACATACCCGTAATTGTCAACAATCAAAAACGAGTAGTTTACATTCATGTGTTTCAAAACACACATCATGGGTTCGAAGTCTTGTTTGGTGAAAGTATCGACTCCTGGATACCTACAATCGATAAGTTCCTGAAAATGCCTGAAATTTTTATGAGACCAACATGTAATCGGTCAAATGATTCAAAGTGTCGTTTTCGAATGCCACAAGACCGACAACTAAATTGGCCCCTTTCAAATTGGCGCGTCTTTGAGACTTCGGTCTGTTTCGATAATTCTCATACAAACCGGTTTCTGACGACCAATTTCCATAATTTTCCCAGGCTGAAATTATAACTCACAGCAACATGCACAAACACGAGCTTTCGGATCTCACTTAATTCGTTAATCTTGCCGACTTTGTAAGTTTGGTACAAAAAAACTCTAGTGTCACTCAAGACTGCTATCACAAACTCGCAGTTTGGCAGAATTTGGTAATGGGAGAGAATTTCGGAAAGAGAAGAAAATTCTGTAGTGTTAACTAGCAGCAAGTAGTTTAAAGGATAAACAAAAATATTAGTTTTGTTTATCTGAAATTGACTCAAAATTATTTTTTCGTTGGAAATTTCTAAAGACCTGGTCTAGGATTTTGTAGGAACTTTTACACTTTTGCAAATCTAGCACCAAGTAGTCATTATTAGACCACTTTTTCAGGACATTTACTTTAGTTGTCGCCTGATAAAAACTAACATGTCTAACTTTTGCCATTTTCTTGAAAAATACTTTATTTTTAGCTGAAATTTGAAAAAATTAGGACTAAACATAATACACATTTTGAATCACTTTTAATCCAGCAGTTGTTAATAGTCAGTGCAACATTTTTGTTTTCGAAAAAATCTTGTAGAAATTCCACATCGGTTACAGTGAAAACTTTTTGACCCAGAAACAGTAAAATAAAAATATGGATTGTTTTCATTGTTTGAAATGAATCTGGAAGAGTCGACTCCTGTTTTATACTTCTTTTAGCAGATTTATAATTCAATAAACCATTAGGGTGACAAGAAAATTTGCAGGTGTGTACAACTTGTAGTTATAAAAAATGTAAAATGCTGTGTGGTTAATATAGTAATTTGTGGATGATTTTCACTAAAGTTAACTTATATAATCGTGTTTTTATCTACTACCAAATTTTTGTTGTTTTGTTGTAAATTGATTAAGAAGTTTTATTTTATACTTATTATGTCAAACTAACCTGATAATTACAATAAATTATTTACACACGTTATAATTCATATTTTATTACATTATTATCAATACAAACAACACACAAATTATTATTGTTTACATGTTATGAACAGTTTAAATCATACAAAATGAGATTTTAAATAAACAAAGCTACATATTAATTTGATATAAAATATTTGATATAAAATTATGTTATTGAGTAAAAGTGACGAAGCTGAACGTTTATTTTTTTAAATAACTCAACTGAGCCACATAACCTTACTATTAATCTGAATAACGTTCTTATAGAGCAACACAATAATTGGTAAGTAAATGAACAAAATAATCAGGACGCTTTACAATTAATAAAATCATAACAACGCTTACAAACAAACATTACGCGTCAGTATCGGAATTTATGTTGACATTTTCAAAAGTATTATATTTAACTAGTGCAGTTAGTAGTGCAAAATCTAGAATTCCGATGATCTACAACGTACTTTTTTAAAAATTCTGAAGCAACGCAAGAGCCAAGAAAAACGAAAGAGCCAAGAAAAAAGAAATGAACTACATTGGTAAATCTCAATAATGTCATGGTAAAAGTAAAAATGCCTAGGCGCAAAAATAGAATTTTTACTGCATGGCTGAAAGGTAAAACTTTTACGTGTTATTTATTTAGTCAAAAAATTGGTCAGTTTTTTACGTTTACGAATAAACGCTATTAATTAAACAAAAAAAAAACAGAAAGGGAACAAAGCTGACTAAAGTGAAAACTAAACTTGTATTTGTTTTTTGTGTACGTTTCCATTAAAAACTCGACTTCTTATTGTATAATTTTTTTTAATAAGATAAGAAACACTTTGTTTAAAGTTCTAACGCTAAGTCTATGACATTAATAAAAATGTCAAAAATTTCGATTTTTTGTTTACTTGACCTATTCTGAAATTGTGAAAACGCTGAAATTGGTTTGTAGTTTATTTGTCAAAGTTTTTTGTCTAATAAATTCTAGTTTAACAATGATAATTATGATTTTAATAAGGATGAATTAAAGCGGATGCAGGTGCGAAAGCACAAATATTTAATTTGCTTCGTTAATTACATTTGCTTTATTTCCTACCTTGAAGCCAATCAATACTGTAAACATAATTTATGAAACAAATACATCAGTTTTCCTATTTTCTGTAATGATGAGCATTTTCTTTGTAAGCTCTTTAACAATGTTACTTTATTTAGCTGAAAGAAAAAGTACAAGCATTCAAGTTTATTAGTTTTGTGGTTGAACGAAATTCATCATAATTTATCATGAGGTAGACTACAAATTAGTGAATAAAACGAAAATATTTTCCTTCTATTTTCACGCTAACTGTGCACAAAACCACTCATTTGTGCCATGCGACCTAAATAATTACTTTAAAGCAGAAGAATTTATTGATCCAACAAAGACACGCAAAAGCTTTTAATTATGGCGCGTCCCGTTATCTAATTTGATTAAATCTGATGACAAAGTTATGTAAAGTTTTTAGACACACGTGCCCCCAATCTAGATGCTAAAAACTTATCGAAAAAAACTTCAGCGGCAAAAAACGCCAAAGCTAAAATCGTCCCGAAGACCCAAATCCAGAGAACCTGTTCGCAGTCGTAAAAGCCGACGCTTTTAAAAGTCGCCGATTGGGAGAAACATTTCGGTTTCATAATAATGCGCAAATTTGTGCGCCTCTGCAGGCCGTATTCATCCACTTTCAGTATCCTGCAGCTGAAATAAGTTGTGGTTTTGGGTCGGAAAAACTCACTTACGCGACTTTGAACAGGTCCTTGTAGGGCGAGTGCTTGGGAACTGCGACGTAGCCTCGATTCTCCTGCAAAAAACACTCAATAATTCTCCACTTGTATTTAACTCACTTCGATGTATCCAGGCAATTCCTGCAACCCACAAATTTCGTAATTGGTGAAGTTTTTCAGGATATACACGTAAGCCGCTTGCAATAAAACGTGGAAAGCGAAATTCCCTTGTTGCAGCTTTTTCATCCCGGACTCAAGAGGGAAATATTGATCCGGATAAATTTTCTTCAAGTATAATTTTTGCAAAGGCCCCTTTTTTATCGACTAAAAACCAGTTTGATTAAATTTATTTACTGTTTTTGACCCAACTTCGAAATAATTCTTCATGTAGTGCGTCTGGCAACCCCCGACTTGGATTCTGCTCTCGAGGAGTTCCTGGATGTCGTTGATTTTCGTCGTGGATTGCAGGAGGACAACAATGTTAGCACTGTAAGACACGTAGATGAAGAGAAAAGCTGCAAAGAAAATTAAAACGAGGATGCGACCTGACAGACTCTGAGGCTCGGTTGTAGTTCCTGAAAATTAAGGCCTAGACTCTTTACATTTTATTTTCGGGGGAAACCTTGTTGGCAAACGGCTTCCAAGGCAATTAGAGTCACGTCGCTCAAACTATACGAGTTTTGCTTGACTTTCTGTAATGAAAACTGGACGGTGAATGAAAATAACACAATATCGCAAACCTTTTTGGTTTTTACTTCCCAACCTAGGATTACTTTTACGACGATGGCTGTTATCAGCATGATGACGATAGAAGCGATCCAAACGTTTTTGTTGAAAGTTATAAAAAATATGTTTTTGATGTAGGAAGTTGAGGGTTTTTTGACTATAAACCGGATTGCTAAAGGGTTACCCATTTTTATCAGGTCCACTGCTGCGTATCTGTCCTCGGTGAAATATATTGAAACGCCTAACACACACAAAATATTTATACCGGATTTTACTTACCACAATTATAAGAATAAATATTACAGTTTTCTCATTTTAGTTTTTTTTTACAAATTTTTAAGCACTATTACCATTTTGGTTAAGTAAAATGTAGATATTTTGACCTAATACAGGGTGAACAAAAAGTATGGAACGTTTTCTTAATGATTTATCTTCGGAAAATAATAGTTATTAAAAATTACAAACAAAAATGAGATTGTGTTTTGAGAAGAAATTTTGTTTTATTTTTTAGTTATGCAATTAAAACTGAATAAACTGTAGATAGTAGTAATCTTTAGATTATAGTCTTTGTAAAGAAAAGTTTTATATGAGTTGCCATTTGAGAAAATTAAAAATTTTGCACACCTCAAAAAAAAATAAAAAACCGAAAAATTTTATTCTTGAGAAAGTTACATTTTTATAGTACTTTATTACTTACCAATGTGACTTTTAAAAAATAAATAGTTTATTTAAAAAACATAAGTCACAACAATTCAGATCAGGTCTATACTTGGTTTTATACTTTTTGTTAGCCTAGAATGTAATTTTTGCAATTTTTCACAAAACCGATGCAAAAATGTGTATAATAGCACAAAGCTAATATATACTAGTATTTAATCGTTAAAACAAATTTTACTGGTTAAAAAAATTATGGGAACAAAAAATTTTTTGATGATTTTTGAAAAATGGTCGTATTTAGATTAACAAACAAATATTTTGAAGCTTTAAATTTGTAGATTGATATTTTTTGACAAAAAATTTTCTGAGCTGCGGTTATCTCGCAATCCTAAAAAGTAGGGCGAGAAAAAATATTTGTGTCTTTTTGTTCTTGGGATATGTTTACTCAGCTGGAATAAATTTCCTACAGAGCTTTTACAATTTTTTGAATTTTTTTATTTTTAACATTGATTTAAAGAAAAGAGAAAAAATTAATTTTTCGTTGTTATAATAAATCTCTTGCGTGTTCACAAATATTGATGGGAGACCAATGTTTCTAGGTTTTTTGTAGCTTAATGAACCACTAATACGAGTAATCCTGTAAATTTTTAAATCGATTTATTAAATTGTTTTCTTGGACCGATTGATCAAAGTTTTTCAAAAAAATTAAAGAAACAGAGTATTGGTTCTGGACATAGTGTAATCTTCATAGAAATAGAAAAAAGTTATTTTTTTAACTTTTTCTTACAATCTGGTAATCGTTAAATTTGAAAAAGGCAATTTAAAAAATAAAAAAAAAATTTTTTGCATGAATGTTCGAAAATCGAGTGCTGAATACAGCTTAGCGGTATTAACTTTTTAAAATGAGGGTATATCATAGGTGACTGGTCTCAAAAATTAGTCAGTATTGTTTCTTGAATTTTTTTAACTTTCCAAAAAAAATGCATTTTTTTCAGCTCAGAAAGTTTTTATAGAAGATCTTAGAACTAAAAACTTAGAGCTTCAAAATGTTTTTTTTAATCGTCTATAGATACGACCACTTTTTACTGAGATATACAGCCTTTAAAAAATCACCAAACAATTTAAGAAATTTTTTTGCTCTCTCAATTTTTTGGAGTAGTGAATTTGAATTTGCAATTAATAAACCTCCCAAAATTGGGTAATAAAATAAAAGCCTCGGAGTTGAAAGTTGGAACAGCCCCTATGTCAGCATCGCAAATGCTCGTTAAAAAAAGACTTAAAACCTCGTTTATTTTGCAATAACTCCTTTCGACATAATCTCTGAAGCGTCAGAAGTGTATTACCTGACACATCTGCTTTTCCACGTTGTATCTCGCGAACTAAACCGCTAAATTTCTTTGTCTCTTTATCATAATAACCGTAACTATCCACCCCAGTTAAAGAATAATTAATATTCAAGTGCTCAAACACGCACTTCATTGATTCAAAGTCTTGCTTGGTGAAAGTGTCAACACCCGGATTCCTGAAACCACACTGAAATATTTTTTTTTCAAAAACTTCCCCACCTGTAATCCGTTAAATGGTTCCATGTGTCGTTCTCATAAATGACAATTACGACCACCAGATTGGCATGGTGGAGGTTTGCCCGTCTTTGAGGCGTGGGGATGGTGGCATAACGCTCGAAAAGGCCTCCTGCCAATGACCAATTTCCATAATTCTCCCACACTGAAATGCCTCATTTGAATAACATGGTTTACATGAGTTGACGCGGTTTTACTTAATTCGTTAATCTTCCCCACTTTGTACGGTTGGTGCAAAAACACCGATTCGCCGTCAAAGATTGCACAGACTACCTCCACGTTGGGGAGGAGCTGGTAGTCGTTTAATTTTAATGCGAAAGCTGGGAAGTCGACAACAGACACGAAGAAAAGATACCGCAGCGAATACACAAAGATATTCGTTCTGTTCAACTAAAATTAAAAAACGAGCTGGAAGAAACGTTCGCAGAAACTTCATCCCTAGAGAGCTTAATTTAATAAAATTATATTTCCTTGGCTTTTTTAATTAATAATAATAATAATTTAAAGTTTTTTACTGCAAGAAACAACACAAAAAAGGGCATATTGTGACAACTTGACATATTATACAGAGTGTTTCGATGAAAACGAGCCACTCCGAATATTTCTCAAACTAAAAAAACTTTGCAAAAACGCCGAGGGACATTTTTTGACGTAATTTTTAAATCACCTCCAGTAACCCTTTACGCATCCCAACTTTAAAAATTTAAATAACACTACCCTACTTGTAGCACCTCAAATGAAATTTATTTTACCAAGCTTTTCAAAACTTTTTACCAAAATTGAATCAGACCATCCATTCACGAGATACAGGTTGTTCTAATAAAAACGAAGCAGAAAGAATTTGCAAAAAAACGAACCAGGTTAATTTAGTTTTTAAAAAGGACATTTTTTGACACAATTTTAAAAGCACCTCCACTAATCCTTTAACTCTTCCCACCTCAAGTTGAATGGGATTATCTATTCTCAAAAGATAATGTTTCTAATTAGTAATTAATACTAACATTGTTATAAGTATTATTAAAGCTGTAACAAACTTATTTTTATTTCTTTATTTTATTGTCAAAATAATCGGACTAAAGAACAGGGAGTAATGAAGTTTCTTATAATTTAATGTAAGTATCTAAAAAATAGTAATATAGTTTTTAAGTTCCTTTGTAAAACTGACTGCTAAAAGATTAGTTTTTTTGCCGATATTTTATGAATGTATAAAAATCATTTCATTTTGGAAAAAAGCTTTTAAAGAGCATGTTTTCACTTGTTGTATCAGTAGTGGTTGGTGCTATTTGACATTTTGGAGTTAAGTGGTATAGAGGTTAAAGGGTTAGTGAAGGTGCTTTTAAAATTGCGTCAAAAATGTCACTTTTAAAAACAAAATTAACCTGTTTCGGGATTTTTTTTGGAAATTTGTTCAAAGATGGTTTGTTTTCATTAGAACACCCTGTATCTCATGAATGGATGGTCTGATTCAATTTTGGTAAAAAGTTTTGAAAACCTTGCTAAAATAGCTTTCATTTGATGTGCCACTAGAGTAGTGCCATTAAAATTTTTAAAGTTGGGGTGCGTGGGGATTAAAGGGTTATCGGAGGTAATTTTAAAATTACGTCAAAAAATGTCTCCCTCGGAAACAAAATCGACCTGTTTCGGCGTTTTTGCAAAGTCTTTTTAGTTTCTGAGATATTCGGGATAGCTCGTTTTCATTGGAACACCCTGTATATCATTTTGTTCGTCTCAGTGAGACAAATCAAATGCACAAATTTTTTTTTCAAAAAGTCCAAAAACTTATTGTATAATAATTTAACGTTAAAAAATCATTACTCAATAACTATTAGGCAGTTTTTTTTAAATAAATTCCATTCTAAAGGGATGGACTTGCCTCTTAGAATGATATGCAATTTGAAATTTAATATTTGCAAACTTTTCTTCAGTGTTCGAAGAAGTTCGAAGTAAATAGAAATATTTTAAGAAAAATTTTACGATTATTTTTTTATCATCACCATCGTGTAGAGCATCTCTTTATTAGTTGATATTCAAATTTTTAAAAAATATACCGAGTAGTTGTCAAGATATGATTTTTTGAAGTTAAGGTTTGCTAATCAAACATGGCGCCATATATTAGAAATGCATGTTATGGTCAAATGGTCAATTGCACCTTCTTTGCTCTAATTAGAGTCAAAAAAAAGTTCAGAAAGCTAGAAAAAAGTAAACAAGTCGGAATGGAAAGTGATTTGATTTGAAAAAGATTTGCCCTTATATTTAAGGCTAGTGAAACAAAGAAACTCTTTTTTTGTTTTAATTAGTACGCAGTTACTTTTTACTTGTTTTAAGTAAACAAACTGTTTTATTTATTTTAATTAGAACAAAAAAGGTGCAATTGACCATTTTTAGGCCAAACCAAAGCCTTAAAACAAATACTTTTATAAAAATTTTAAGTAAGATTAACATGCATTTCTCCTATATGGTGCAATGTTTGATTAGCAAATCTTAATTTCAAAAAACCATATCTTGAAAACTACTCGGTATATTCTTTTAAAATTTTGAATTGCAACTAATAAAGAGATGCTCTATACGATGGTGATGATGAAAAAAAATTACTCGGAGGTTTTTTCTCAGATTATTTCGATTTCTTTCGAACTTCTTCGAACACTGTTCGAAGAAAAGTTTGCAAATATTAAATTTCCAATTGCATATTATTCTAAAGGGCAAATCCATTTCTTTAGATTGTTCTTTATTTGAAGGAAGTCGGCTTAATAGTTATTGAGTAATTTTTTTGAAGTGAAATTATTATAAATTAGAAAAAATTATTCAGTTCAAAGTTTGTGGATTTTTTGAAAAATTTTGTTAGTGCATTTGATTTGTCTCACGGTTGGTTGGTCACGACATGCCCTTTTTTTGTCGCCCTGTTATATTTTTTGTCTCAAAGCTTTAAGTGTAAAGTATTTTCTAATAAATGTCTTCTTAGTAACAAACCCCGTTTTTGCTCATAGACCCCTGAGAGGGTAAAACATCGTAATTTGGAGTTTCCTTTGAAGCCTCGCAGTGTCTTAACTCAAAGAGTAATGATTCCAAGATCATGTAACGCATGAAAATAATTAAAATTTTCATACCTCGTAAATAATTTTTTCCGAGCTTTGACAACCTCTAAAATCCAAGACCAAATAATGTCTATTGGACCATTTCTTCAACGCATCAACGTCATTTTTATAAAACCCAGTTTGTGTCATTTGCGACAATGCCATATCTTTCAGGAACATTTTATTCTTGTCTGAAACATATTTCGAAGCGGAGTCACCAACAAAACGCTTTATACCATAACTCCAGCAATTATTAATGGTGAGTAGAAGGTTTCTATCCGTGAAAAAATCCTTCAGGAATTCAATATCGATGAAACTACAGTTGACGGAAAAGATAACGACGCAAAACGCCACTAGAGAGCAAACGACATTCATTTTATTACCTGGAAAACTGGGAATTCGAAACGGAGAAGTCCTTATATATCAACTTTCTTCCATAAATAAACCAGTCAAGAGACAAGCAAACCTACCACTTACCACTCTGGTAATTTTCTCGACTCTCTAATTCACAAGAAAAGTGAACATTTTCATGACAAATCATTGTAAAATAAAAATATGAATCTATAATTCAGGCGGTCTTAATTGCGCCCCGAGAACCACTTCATAAATAAATGTTTAATGAAAGTTTAAATTGCTCGTTAAAGTGGTTTCGTAATGTACATTAATTAGGAGCGTTAATAGAAAATCAATCTCAGGGGATTTCCTATAAGTGCAGCCTGAGTTTTAGTCGGAAAAAGTGTTGATTTTTCCTCTAAAAATCATACTTCAGGTCTGAACTTTTCAGATTGATTTAGTTTCAAACATGTGGAGCTTGCGAACACCCAGAGCAATATTTCTCCAGCTCTACTACTTTTTGACTTATACTAGTTTAAGTTTCAAAGACGTTGTTTTAGTGCGCTCGAAATACTCTTCCCGACGATTTAAATCAGGTAATGGAGCACACATTACCACCTCAAACCGGAAACTTGGAAACTTTTGCGATTTTTCTTCAATTCGAAACTGGTAACAATAAACTCAAGCTATTAGTAACTCCACAATCCGCTTTTTAACGACTCACGTTCTGCAAGAACGCTATTTTTATAAACTACATTGCGCAAAAAGTGCAACTTGAGTTTGGTTTAAAAGAGATTGAACGAAATTGTAAATTGATTGTTTCCGCAAGTTATTTTATTTTCTTAAACGTGTGTGTAATTATTACACGAAAAGTTTTTTTTTCAGTTGTCGTCGGATGATTTTTTTCGATTTACTCATATTTCTTCTGAACTGTGAAAAAATTGATACTAAACTTAACAAAAACCTCGATTTGCTTTTAAGTAGTTGTGACAATCAGTGCAACGTTTTTTTTTGAAAAATTTTTCACTAGTAACAGTGGAATTTTTTGACCCAGAAACAGTAAAATAATCATATGGATTGTTTTCATTTTTAGAAATTAGTCTGGAAAAATCGATTCTTGTTTTATACCTCTTTTAGTAGGTTTATAATTCAATAAACTATTAGAGTGACAAGAAAATAAGTTTGTGCAACTTGTAGTTATAAAGAAATAAAAAAATGCTGTGTTTGATGGTTGTATACGTATTTTTTACATTGGGAACGTTTTTGAATAAAATTGAAAGTGCTGTAATACTAACAAATTTTTGTTGTCGCAATGATATGATTGTTTAAGAAGTTTTTCCTACGATTCTAATGAAAAAAAAGTTTTTTTATTGTAATTAAAAGTTTTTTTAGTGTAATTTTATTAACGAAAGTGGCTAATTACCTCCCTCATTTGTCAAAATTATAATAAAAATATATATCTACAGACTGGATTATAAAAAGGCGTTACAATACGTCTTTGGTCAAAGTTGAACTGTTTTCTTCTTTTAGATAAAATGAATAAAAATGTTTTATTTCTTCTGAAGTCTACTTTATTTAATTTAATTTTTTAACTGTCTAGAATCAAAAGTTGGTGATAAATAATAGTTAGTGAGCTTGTTGAGAGAAAATTTAATGACTAAACTAAAAATAGTAAAACATATTGGGTGTTTCATTTAAAAAACTGAAATTAATGTCGGTCTCGGTGAAACAGAAAGTAGCATTGATTGAGTATTTATCCCAAACAATAGATAAATTGTACAATTTTGTTCTGAGAAGTATTGTCATTTAAAAAAAATAATGCAGTTAGGACTTGAGGAGTTTTTTATAATCTTCCCTGTATAAACTTTTAGGGATGTAAAAATTTTACTTTCTCTATAGAAACGCAAAAACATGCTGCTATATGTATTTAATGACAAAACTGGGATATTAAAAACAAATGTTAGTTTTTCTTGCTGGACTGTAGGAAAAATTATGTGTATTACACAGGAGGAGAGACAGTAACTTTTACCTCCGGGAGAAAAAGATACACTTTATTTTATATTTATTATGTCAAATTAATCAAATAATTACAGTCAAGTATTTACACACGTTTTAAATCCATGTTTTATTAAATTATCGATACAATTATTAATGTTTACTACAGCATGTAAACAGTTTAAATTATACAAAATAGGATTTTAAATAAACAAAACTAAATATGAATTGTAACTAATAACACTAGTTTACAAATAATATGTAACTTATTTAATATACCTTTATTAAATTATTATTTTTATGTTTATTTACCTTCTATTAAACAAATTTTTGGATTTAAAATTCATTTAAAATTAAAATTGTTTCTCATTAGTTACAAAATTGTCACCAGATGAGTGTAAATATCACTCTTAAAATACATTTTACTGACTCGCATTTGTACTTTTTCTCTAAAAACTTAGACAAGATGAGCGTTTTTATCAAGATCTAAAGGTTTTCGAAAATTGAAGATACCAAAGGTTTTTGTCACGAAAATATGTTAGGGGACTACTGTTGGACTTTTATAAAGGAAACTGATTCAAAAAAGTATAAAAAACAAAGTAAAACAACTTAAACTGATTCAAAAAGGTATAAAAAACAAAGTAAAACAACTGTTTTTAATTTGTTGGTTTTTGTATTTTTATTAATTACATATTTCTTAAACGTGACGTGGTGGATTTTTAAATATTTTTTTAAACTCAGTGCCTGAAAATTTATAAGAAATTATAAGTTTCAGCTAAGGTATATGTAAAGATCGTGTAAACTAGTGTAATTAAAGAAAAAAAAAATTGAAAGGAACCATTGCAAAATGAACAAAGTGTTTGTTTTATTACATAATTTTATCTGTTTTTTTGTTGGATTTTCTTCATTTATTACATTTTCATTAAGAATTCGACATCATCAATTGTAGGATTTTATTAAATTTTTTGTATAAAGTTCAAACGGTTCTAAGTCTCTTAAAAACGTCAATTTTTTGCGAAAACTCAATTTTTATAAACTATTTACATTCAGAAAAGTGAAGGAAATTTGAGTTTGATTTAATAGTATACTATGTTGTAACATATAGTATATTATGTTGTTGCAACATATACTATTTTATCCGTAAACAGGAACATTATAATTAGCAATTAAATAAACAAAATTAAAAAGGATGCTTTGCAATGAAATCATTACAAGCATTATGCCTCAGTTTCGGAATTTGTGTTAAGATTCTTAAAAGTGTTTATTGATTTAACTATAGGATAACTAGTGCAAAATGCCGATGCTGATGATCTACAATGTACCTCTCCAGAAATTTCTAAAGCAGCAAAAGGAACCACATAATAAATGTCATGGCAAAAGAAAAAACGTTTAAGCGAGTTTTTACATGAAAGGTAAAACTTTTACTTGTATTATTTAGTCACAAAAGGGTCACTTTTATTACGTTTCCGGATAAAAGAGATTAAACGAAATCGTAAACTGATCTTTTAGTCAGTTATTTTATTTCGTTAAAGGGCAAGAAACTAAAACGAGTGTTTTTTGAGTTTTGCTAGGTAAAAATGCCAGGCCTGGACTTGATAAATGATGCATAACACACTGTTCAACTTAACTATCACACGAAAAGTTTCGTGTCAGATGTAGCAACTTATTCGCGCTTTAAGTTCAACAAGAAGTTTCAAGAAAATACAGCTATTTTATAAAACAAAATGTTTGGAAAAAACTTTTATAAGATACCTACTAAACTTTATCATATTAAAGTAAGTAGGGACTTGTTATTAACAAAGTTTTCAAAGCCGTTTCTTACTTCACCTTTCAAAAGCATTTTCAAATTAATAATAATCAAAAATTCTAAATGAATATAATTTTTGTTAAACGTAAATAATTTTCAATTGCTTTCACCAGAATAAATCTAATTTTGACGGTTATAATAAAATATTTGATTAACTATTTCGAGGATTGAATAATCGTTTAATATGTACAATAATAACTGGCTTTAGTTATTAATTTCACGATAGACAGTTTGACAAATTTCATTCGAGCACGCTTTACTAAACATTGTAATTATTTATAAATAGTTTAACAAGTATGCAATATTCATAAACTCGCGACGCAAAAGCTTCAATTATTTTAATCCATTTCGTTGGTAATACTGCAGAAAGCTCGAAAATAAATGGCTTTAATGAATTATTAAAATTATTATAAGCAAAAAATAATTGATCAGAGCCAAAAATTTACTTAACTCAATTGAGATAAAACACTGGATTGTAATAAATTCCAAATCCGGTCTGAATCTCTTCATAAAATAACGTATTTGTGAACGGCTGCAAAAACGCGCTCGTTGCAGTTATTTACAGACAGGCGTTATTTGTGTTGAATTTATTTCAGATCTGGTTCCTGAATTGTCGAAAACTGGCATCCGTTCAATGCTACATATTGTAGATTGCGCATTAAAAAAGCTCATTAATCATCATCGAATCGGATGGAATTTTACAATTTCACAGAAATAAATCCGTTGCTGAACAAAATTAATTGTGGCAAATAGTGTTGAGAGTTATCAATCAACCTGATGGATTTTCCTCATCATTAAGATTTCGCTTTGGGTAATTTATTATAATAAAAATTCCAATTAACCGAATTGTCAGACAAAATACAAACAAATTCAGGACGGCTTCGGGCATCCAGAGGGAATGTTGTTTGTTTGAATTCCTCAAATCGCTTCGATGGTTTAATGCGCATTGGGATAATGTAATTATTCTTCTACGGCCGATGTGATTTTATGCAAATCAAAATTTTAAATTAAACAT